TTTAATGAATCAGGGCCCTCAAAGTTAATTTGAGATCAGTACTGAAGCTACTAGAAAAACTGAAGTTTCTCTTTTCATGAATACTCAAATGTAGACAAAGGTCAACTCAGAAGTCCAAACACAAAGCAAATTCTTTCCCTGCTCAAAATAGAGCACATTTCAGGCCTGTTGGCTGGTTTTTCAGGGACCAATCTAACCAGTGATGGGGAACATGTCACCTCAGCTTTTCACATGAAGCTTCTTGAAACTTTCTGGCTCATCCAAATACTCGTTTAAAATATCAGGCTAAAATTTATCACTTCAATTACTCAAGAACAAGAGAAGTATTACAGAAATTTCTTAGACATCTGCAAAATACTTTTTTGTTTTGTTTTTAGGGGGCAATGTAGGATTAATATCCTATTGGTTGAAGTGGTTTGGATTTATCGGATAATTTTTTTTTTCCTAAACCTCTCGAGACACTCAAAAAAGAGCTAGTTCTCAAAGCATGCTCAACCAAAAGCCAGGCTGAAGTGTATTAAGGCATAACACACAAAACAATTCTGAAATAGTAAAACGAAATACAATAGAGAACATGTTAACAGAGATAAAAACTAGTAGCTCTCAGACCATTTAAGATTTTCCACGAATACCCAAAGTTACTGGTTTTCAGCAGACCTTACCCCATATGAATATAACGTATTAGCTCTTTATTATACACAAGCATTCGTTAATGTGTGAGTGTGACAATTGTGCTACAGTATGCCCCTGGTTCCAGCTTGGACTTCAAGACTGTCAAGTGGCTTTAAGAACAACTAAATATAGGCTAGCATAGTAGTTTTTATGTGAGGTGCAAGCTATTAAAAGATACCTTTGAATATCCTGCTGACTCATAGCAGTGTCATGCGTATAGGGCATGAACAAAATCTATTTTTATAGAAGAAATTGTACTCAAACAGTGGAAAATCAGTAAAGAAGCAATAGCAGATTAGCTTCTTCCAATATTTCTTCCAATATTTCATATTTCTAATCAATCAGATTTGCTAGTCTGTGTTTTAAATTACTAACAGAGCTTCAGGACATCTCTGCTAAAGGCAGCAAGAACTCGTGCTTGTCAGTCCTCGTCTCAGATCACTTCACTGGACCTGAACTTTCCAGAGCAGTTGGCCAGCACAAGGTCATTCTTAATCTGGGTGGTATTTTGTTGGCCGTACCCAAGAGATGAACGGAAATGATGGGAACAGCAGCAGCAGTTGGGTCCCCAGAGGCAGAAAAGCTAAACTTCTATGCAGAACTGCTGGGCAGTCTAACAAGGCTCCTTAATGACAAACCTGTTTCTTTCGGTAAGTGACACGTCACAAACACACCTCTGCAGCCTCATTTCTCTATTCCTTATGTGACTAAGGAGACTAATTTCTCATATGAATTATTCGTCAGTGTAGTTCAAATACTTGTTAGTGCATCATTTGAAAGCCTTTAATAACAGCCCTTCAGAACATCAAGTCTTGCCAGAGGTGACTGCAGCTACAAAGCCAGGACGCCTTCTGGGCTTCTCATCAAGATCTGCTTCCTTTGCAACATACAAAGGATATAAAAACTAATTAAAAAAAGTCATTAGATATATGGAGAATCAGTTATTCACAGCATACAGAACAATCCTTTGCTTTTCTGAATCTATCACACCTGACAGATTTAGAAGCAGTGTCCAATTATTAAGTGTCCCAAGTAAAGGCACAAAGATGGTAAGGAGGGAGCTCTTCAAATGAGTGACAGACAGCTCACACCAAATTACATTTGATAATTTTCATCCCAGAGTATTCTACTCAGACAAGAGACCTGAAATTCATGTGAGGAACAGAAGAGCTGATCTCAAAGACAGGCCCTTGGTGCTTCCAAGGAAATTCCGTTTCCGAGGAAGGAATATTGACATTCCTCTGTAAGCAGCCGCAGTGCACGCCCTGTAGTGAATCACAGGCCACCTGAAAATGATGCACGAAGCCTCTCACATGTAGAAAGAAACGAGTTACAAGCAGCAAGGGGAAGGCTGCAGAGAACTGGGGGCTCTCCAGGAGCTGAGCTCAAGAATCAGAGAAAATGGAAGTCGTGATCGTGGCAGATGCACAGCTCAGCACGCAAACCAGCTCAGATCTCACTGTGCCTCAAGCTATGGCCAAAACTCCAGCAGACGCAAGGAGGAACAGCTGGAAAGTGCCAGGTTTAGCCTCCAGAATCGGGGGAAGGAGGAGCAGAAAGGGATGAGAGAAATAACTTTCAATGTGCTTCATCTTGCCCGGTTCACTCTTGAGCCCAACAACTACCTAGTAGAAAAGCAGCAAAACAAGAAAGACAGAAATAAAAAGTGCTGTATGGAAACTTTCATGAGGATTTCCTTCAATCAGTTACAACAGTCTAAGTGTTATGTGCAGACAGATACTGAGTGTCACGCGGTGGTATCAGGAACACAGCCCCGGACTCTGAGCAAGGACACAGTTGCTGGCTAACATCAAGGAAGATGGGGACTAGCGCTCTGAACCACCGCTTTACAATTAAAGTCTAAATAAATAATTTTGCCCTTTTCCTTTAAGTTTTTATGGGCTAATAATTGATATTTTACTCTCTGGGTTAACAGCGCTTGAGATGTCCCCCTCAGCAGAACTGCTTGTTTGCACAGCTGCATCATTTACAGGAAATCTGTCAAACAGAAAATAAGAAGTCCCCAGCAGCCGACGAGCACTTCTCTCGTTTGGGAAGTCCAGCCACCTCCACGGGGTAATTGCCACAGACTGCACAACACCGTGTCTAATTATCAGGGAATCTCGCTCCACTCAGCCGTTCCCCTCTTTAATTAATCTCTGCTGTGTATTTCATCATTCTGCATCCTCTGCTCTCTCCAGCTCGTGCTTCCCATGTACGTCACTGCCTCCATGCAGCCGGCCCGGCCTTTCTTTCACCAGGGCTCAGGACGCCTCGCTGACGATCTGAATGCTTGCCTGCTATACATGCTATAAGGAAGCTTCTACATTAAATGTATGCATCCTTGCATTCACCAACAAACAGAAAGGGGTTTTCAAGTCACCGAGCACTTGATCTGACACAGCCTGGTTTTCTTCCTGCTTGATTCTTGAGTCAACACTGCAACACTAAGATGTCCTGCTGCTGTCCTCGAATAGAGGAAAAGAAATGAAGCATCTCAAGAGGCTATTTCTGACTTTAGAAAAAGAAACCTTTCACTATATTTGGTGCGTTAGACCTTGAAAACAAATAAAATAACATTTAAGCACTGTTTGCACCTGAGTGAACATGTCAGGCAAATCATTCACTTCACACACAAGAAGCGCTGCAGCCTCTGCCCAGACAACGGTCTAGCCGGGGAGCCTGGGTGCAAGGGCGACAGCGACACGCCAGCCAACAACTAAATAAAAATACATGGAAGGGAGGAGGGGAACCGCTGCCTGGCCACCCATCACATGAACACGCAGCGGCTTCACCAAACTGCTATTTTCGTAGTTCCTATACGTGACCGTATCTGACGGGACCCAACACATTCTCCTGAGTTCTATTTCTTTCACTGTTATAATAAAACTCTAGAAAGTTAGTTTATATAGTTTGAGCATAACAATTAGATTTGCAAAGATAAAACGGATTGCAATTACATAAGGTTTTTTCCTTTACTTGGAAAGGTGCAAATATTTTGGTTAGGGAAAAAAATACCTTTTGTTAACAAGAAGACTACAGCAAATAAACCACTACAGAGGCAATTTAGTTAATTTAAAACACTTTACAAGAACGAAGATACAATTTATATGGGGGAAAAAAACACAACAGGCACTGGAGGATCCTCTTTCTTCACAGGCTTCTCACTTCTATTTGATTAAAGAAAAAAGAAGTTTTATGTCTTTGGGTAGGAAATCCATACCATTAACTGAATACTCTTAAAGGAACTCCTACAAATCCTTCCCAAGCAAAGACAGAGTCAATAAGATGCACTTGTATTTCATGCTGACTAAAACTTTGTTTTTCTCTATTGTGTTTTAGTCAAATTTGAACTATTTTGCCAAAGCTATCCAAACCAGCGAGCCAGTTTAATTGCAGAAGTTGTTTAAAACGACAGTAACTTGCACCCGCCTGTCTCTGAACACAGCAGACGGCTCTGCCCTGCCGCGCTGGCACACCTGGCAAGGCAGCGGGCGGGATCGTCTTGCACAGACAACCGCACCCCGAGAACCTCCCTTGTGAAAGAGCTCCCGAGCCAGCCCCTCCACTGCACTCCCGGCAATAAAAACAGATTCCCAGCTGCATTAGTCAAAGGTCATTATGAAAGTTGTAACTTCTGCTTCCAGCCCTGCGTACAGGCAGTTCTCAAGGTTTAATTCCTATTTTCCCCCTCACGTGGGAAGCAGTTCAAGATGCTTATCCTAGCAGAGCGCAGGTTATGAGAAATTCCACTCAGCATTTGGAGCTGTGGGGCCCGCAGTCCGAAGAACAGGGCTCACACTCCTATAGTCAAAAAAATGCCAATTTTTGCATCTAGACACTCACTACGGGGAATGAGAAGAAAAGAAGAATGGTTTGCAAGTTACAGCCTGTTTTACAGCAGAATAAATGCCCTGTCGCAACCGCCATTAGCTGACATGTTCTGTATTTTCTTTACACTTTTTTAAGTGCGCGACGTGCCTGAACCGGACAGCACGGAGCAGAGCGCGTTGCAGGGCGCAGGCGGGGGCTGCCCGGGGCCGGGCGGCTCCTCTGCGGCGGGCCGCTCGCGAGAAGGGCGCGCGGCGGAGCGCGGGGCGCCCCGCGGAGCAGGCGGGAGGCGCGGGCGGCCCGGCGGGCAGGGACCCCGCGCGGGGCCGCGCTCCCCGCTCCGCCCCGCGCCACCAAGCGGGGCAAAACGCCCGTTCCTCCCGCTAAACAACGCGCGGGGCACGGCCCCCTCCCCGGGGCTCCTCCCCGCGGCGCCGAGCACCGGGCCCGGTTCCGGGCGGCCCCTTCTGCCGCGCCGCGTGTCCCGGGCCGCGCACCTGCCCACGGTCTGGTTGGCGAGCTGCTTCATGCGGTTGAACTGCTTCTTCATGGCGGCGGC